ACCTCTTTTGGTAGCAGCAGGGCCGAGAGGTGCTGCAGTGGTGCGTGTGTAGGCAGGGCTTAATCATTTGCTGAGCTGCCAAGATGCTGTTGGAGCATGCCCTGCGTTCTGATTCCGACAAGAGTTATCCTCCTCAGATAACCGCAAGTCTCCCTTGCCCGTCATCCTGGTGTGTTCTGCCATAAGTACTCTGCACTACGGCACATCTGGTCTGGTCTGCTGCCCAAGCCAGCATTTTCCACTTAAGTGGGCAATGGTGTCGATGTCCTTGTAGCTTGACCCACCTGCCACACTCTCAACCTTTTAGGTTTCTCCATGTTGTTTTCATAGGTCTTGAAGAGGAAGGTGCTTGTCTTTCGCTAACCTAGCTGCATTCTACCCGTTTATACAGGACCTTGTGCCCCACTAGCCCTACCTCCAGTTTCCTTAACGCCTTTTCATTGTGAGGCAATGAAGTTACAAGGTATTATCTTGGAAGAAATGCCTTGACTGGATCTATTCCATCTACCATTGGTAGCATGAGAAACCTCACTTTCCTGTCTGGCTCCAAAGTAAAGCATAAGTCATCCCACCACCTCTTTTGCGGTTGTTATGTTAGCTTTTTTAATATATAAATGCCCTTTCACATCCCTTTAACATCCTTTGGTGCGTTGCTGCGGCTAAAGGATGCAGGCATCTACAGTCAAACTCCCTCTCTCATACCATCCCAGCGTCCCTTGGGAACCTGCAATCTACAATCACCCCGATGCAACCTGCTCTTGCCCACCTGCAGAACCAATACAGGGATATTCGGCGGGGTCCTATCTACCAACACTCACCCGCTACTGCTGGCCCATCGGGCACCCAATCCAACCCGCCGCCTGTTGCATCTCCTTCAACTGCAGCACCTCAGCAGCCTGTCCAGCCCATGGCAACGCCTTTTGGCTCGCTCCCCACTGCGCTCCCAAAATTCATCCATGGCAAGACGGATGTTGAGAACTGGGTGACAACAGTGGATGAAATGCTAGCTCTCCACAACGTGCGTTCCAATGCTCGTGTCACTGCCGTCTCTGGTGCGCTGGATGAGCATGCTAGCCAAACCATGTTTGCTAGCCGGAAACAGCTCGAGGCAAGTGGAAAGTTTTTCACTTGGGACGAGTTCTGTGCTGCAATGAAAGCGGCTTTTCTTGTCAAGACAACTGACATGGAAGTGCGTCGTCGCCTTGAAAACATCAAGTGTGGCGATCGCTCAGTGCAGAAATATGCACAAGAGTTTGAGGGCGTTCTGTGACTGATGGGCAAGCAGCTGTCTGAGAATGAAGTTATGTATATCTTCTTCCAGAACTTGCCCCAGTCCCTGCAGGATAAGCATGTCGCAAATGGCCTCAACAAATGGAGCACCTACAAGGAGCTCAAAGAGGCGGTTCAAGCAATGGACGAGACTGTTCGTATGCTAGCAACGCCTTCCACCGACCAGCCTGAGTCGAGGACTCAGCCGAGGGGCGATGGTGGCAATGGTGGTGGTGGCCAGTGGAATTCCAAGGGGAAGGGCCATGGGTACAAGAGGCCCTTCCACCAGAATGGTAACCAGCAGCGTCCTCCGGCTAAGAGGGCGAATGGTGGCGGTTACAAAGGGCCGCCAAGGGACTTCTCTAATGTCGTCTGCCGAAGGTGTGGCCGCCGTGGTCACATGGAATTTTAGTGCCGCTATAGGAACATCGTAAAGCATAGTGGTAAGCCTAAGGGCAACAAAAATGGCGGCGAAGGACCTTCTGGCAGTAAGAAGGATTTTCAAAAGTCCAACTAGGGTGTGGGTACCTAGTTGGTCAGATAGATCGAGGGGATGAGGCATATGCTTTATGTGATGATGATTTACTAAAGCTAGAGAAGCTTGCTGAATGCAAAATCTCTTGTTTGTTTGCCTCTTCTTTTAATAGAAAATCAATGTTTGCACCTCGATCGTACCCACTTGATGCTATATCCATTGAAGCGTTACGAGATAAATTCTCAGTCGTTTACTGTGGCCTGGAAACATTGCCTTCTGTACTCGATGTTGTGAGTCGTTGTACTCAAGAGCACCCCCTGACTGCGGTCGCCGTGGTGACTTGTACAGTAAAGGGCGAAACGTTCAAATCGCTTCGTGGATGGGTTGTGCTGGCGTCTTGGGACAAGGGACACCATGTATGGTGGACCAAATCTGAATCCTTTGGACGAGCCCGCCACAATGTCAAGGTGTACTACAAACCCTCGTCAAACATTGTGGCATGCCCCATCCGCCCAATGCATCAACAAAATCTACTCCTTTCGGGTCGCGTTAACGGACGTAGCGCGAAAATTCTTGTCGATACAGGTGCCACTGTTTCCCTCTTTGATGAAATGTGGGTTACACCGCTTAGGGTCCTCGTTGAAGGACCGTCATGTCCCATTCATCTTGGTGACGATAGTCTTATCCCAAGCAAAGGACGGACATGGAAATCCAAGGCTATAGCGAAAAGATTCGCACTTACGTTCTCCCCTTGCTTGCGGGTGTCGACGTAGTCTTGGGAATGGATTGGTTACGTGCAAATGAGGTTATTCTGGATTTCCAGGATAACACAGTTTCTTTCACCAAGAATGGTGAATCAATCCAGTGGCAGGTGTCTGTCGACACAACCATCCCGGCGGTTCAAATTACGAAAAGTCCAGACGTGTGCTTTGCTCTTGCATGTCAATTTGGACAGCATTACCGCATTGCTAACACACTTTCCATCGTACAGCTCGAGGAAGCTGGAACCCCAATGCCAGACATTGAGGATTTTCCACCTCAGATGAAGGTACTGGCGGATGAGTTTAATGAGGTTTTTGAGTCTATTCCGGACGGACTCCCTCCTGACCACGCCGTAGGCCACACCATCCCTGTGGAGCCTGGAAAGCTCCCCCCGTTTCGACCTCTGTATCGCCTCAGTCCAGCTGAGTACGAGGAGGCTAAACAGCAGATTGAGGAGTACCTCAAGAAGGGATGGATTGAGCCAAGTGCATCACCATATGGAGCACCAATCTTGTTCGTTAACAAGAAGGGTGGTGGCTTACGCATGTGCGTCGACTACCACGCCTTAAACAAGATCACGATCAAGAACAGATATCCTCTTCCAAGGATAGAAGACCTATTCGATCGACTCCAGGGTGCTCAGTGGTTTAGCGCGTTGGATCTGGCACAGGGGTACCACCAACTTCGCATCACTGAGGAAGATGTTCCCAAGACGGCGTTCCGTTCGCCGTTTGGCCATTTTCAATGGCGTGTGCTGAGCTTTGACTTGACCAATGCTCCAGCCTCTTTTCAAAGGGCCATGAACGATGTGTTCCGCGAAGCAATCGGGCACTTCGTTCTGGTTTACCTCGACGACATCTTGGTTTATTCCAAGACTGAAGAGGAGCACACTCAACACCTAAAATGGGTGTTAGGAAAGTTGCGAGAACACAAGTTCTATGCTCGTTTATGGAAATGCCATTTCTACAAACGCGAGCTGGAAGTACCTCGGTCATCTTGTCGGGAACAACGGACTTAAAGTCGACCCCAAGAAGGTGGTGGCTGTTCAGAATTGGCCCGTCCCACAAGACGTGGGCCAGATCAGGTCCTTCCTAGGCCTGGCTAATTATTTCCGCCGGTTCTTGGAAAATTACTCAACTGTCGTTGCCCCTCTGACAGCACTCACCCGAAAAGGTAGTGCCTGGGAGTGGACTCGACAATGCCAAGAGGCATTTGACAAAGTCAAAACAAAGCTGACCAATGCTCCGGTTCTGGTATTGCCAGATCCTTCTAAACCCTATGAGGTGGTCACCGACGCCTCGACAGTAGGGATTGGGGCGGTACTCTTGCAGGAGGGCCGCCCAGTGGCATTTGAGAGTAGGAAGCTCTCCCCGGCAGAGCAGCGCTATACGACATCAGAACAAGAGTTGCTGGCGGTTGTGCATGCGCTGAGAACATGGCGATGTTATCTGGAAGGTGTGGAGTTTGTGGTCACGACAGACCACTGTCCGAACACCTATTTCTCTACTCAAGCCACGCTCACTCGGCGCCAAGCCCGCTAGGCAGAACTCCTTAGTGGGTTCACATTCGATATTCAATATCGTGCAGGTTCTACGAACATGGCTGACCCCCTCAGTAGACAGCCGATAGGGGCAGCGACTGGGCTTGAAGAAACCAAGGATAAAGCAGTGGTTGCTGCTTGCTTCGGTATTCTTGCCGTGGCTCGAGTGAATGAGGTCGCCTTCAGTGGTTTTCTGAAACGCATCCGCATAGGATACCATATTGACTCCTGGTTTCAGAACCCACAAAATACGAAGGGCCTTAAGTACGAGCATGAGCTGTGGTGGCGAGAGAAAGAGATTGTGGTACCCCACGTGGGTAACCTGCGGAATGATATAATTGAGGAAGTGCATAGCACCAAGTACGGGGGACACCTGGGTATCAAGAAAACCCGGTGGGCCTTAAGTGACGTGTACTGGTGGCCTGGATTGGGGACTGAGGTCCAACAATTCGTGTCGCGTTGTGATGCATGCGCACGCAACAAGTCAAACACGAAAAAGCCTAGTGGTTTGCTTCAACCACTGGAGATTCCAGACGAACCCTGGGAGAGTGTCTCACTGGATTTCATCACAGACCTCCCAAAAACACGAGACGGTCATTCTGCGATCTTGGTCTTTGTGGATCGACTGACCAAAATGGTGCAATTCGTTGCTACTACAACAGACGTATCTGCGGAAGATACGGCCAAGTTGTTTGAAGCACACGTGTTCCGCTTACACGGGTTACCGCGTGTGCTGGTGTCCGATCGAGATCCGCGCTTTACAAGCCGGTTCTAGCACGAAGTTACACGGACACTCGGAACGAAGATAAAGATGTCGTCAGCCTTCCATCACCAAACGGATGGCCAGACAGAGCGGACGAATCGTACTCTTGAGCAGATGCTTCGTTCCTTCATTGGCCCAACTCAGGATGATTGGGACGACTTGTTACCTGTGGTTGAGTTTGCAGTGAACAATTCCGTCCATGAAGGTACCCATGAAAAACCCTTCATTCTGAACTGTGGTCGGCATCCCACAACACCTGCTACGCATGGGATAGGCAGACTGCGAGTCCCTGCCGCGAAAGACTTTGTGGGCAAGCAGCAAGTAGCGCTCAAGTCTGCTCGCCGCTGGCTGCAGCTGTCTCAGCAGCGACAAAAGTCTTATGCCGACATGAAACGCCGGGACGTCTCATTTGAGGTTGGAGACAAGGTACTATTGAGCACGAAGAACATTCGTCTCAAAATCCCTGGGGCACGAAAGCTGTTCCCTCGATGGATTGGGCCTTTCGAGGTGATCCAGCGCGTTGGTGTAGTAGCTTACAAGTTGAAGTTACCCGAAACATTGCAGATTCAAAATGTCTTCCATGTGTCTCTGCTCAATAAGTACATTGCTGACGGCAAGTACTTACCTCCGCCAACGATCGTCCTCGGAGAGGAACTCTTTTATGAGGTCGAGCGTGTGCTCATGCACCGTGATCGACAGCGCGGCCGCAAGACAGTACGCGAGTTCCTTATTAAGTGGAAAGGCTATGGGCCTGAACACAACTCATGGGAGCCAGAGGAACATTTGACCAAAACTGCGGTTCACGGATATCTGGAAGACCTGGCTCAAAGAGCAGCCTCACAACCAGTGGATGGTGTTGACCCTGGTCCTAATGTGATTCGGCGCGCTCGAAGCACCCGTCCCCAGAAGCACTCTACGGCAACGAGGACGTTGCCACCTGGAGGGGGAGGAGTGTAACGCATGGCCTCTGCACAGTACGCGGACCTAGAAACGACCTTCCCAACCGCTTTCCACAAATCGGCAACCTATGCTATCTAGCGCGAAATGGGAAGGAAGGGTTGGGAGGGGAGGATTGGGATTGGTCGACACTTGGGACCAATCAGATTTTAGTTGTACAAATTGAGTTGGCGAAATTCCCAACACACGCGATGGTTGGATTTGCGACCAATCAGAACCAGGGAGTTGGTTGGCAGTGCCAACTCAACTCGAATATTCTTATGCTGTACACTATATGCTAATCTGAATATATTGCTGTAAACCTCTCATTGGTTGGAAATCCAACCCTTTTGCCACATAAGCTAGCTCACCTCCTTGGAGCCATGGAGGAGGTTGAGCAGCTGCTGGGAGTCATTGGAAGGGGTCTGAGCTGAGAAGCTCATTCTCAACTTCCCACTCCAAGAAATCAATTTTGAAATGGGATTTTTCTCTAAGTCATGAGCTCTTCTCACAAGCTTCCCTACACTAGTGGCTTCTAGTGTGATCTCCTAGGGGAAGACCTACCCAACCAGAGTCTCAAGCATTTTCTTCAAGGGCCTTCCTCAAGCTTAAGCTATCTCTTAGAGGAGGTCCCTCCTAAAAATTACGCTAGGGGATCATTAGTTCATTTTATACTCAATTTTATATCCTAGGATCTTGGATGTTGGGTTTGGGACTTCAACCCTTGTTGCCCATGATATAAGGGCAAGGGTTGTTACATCTTTGGTGATTCAGTAGAGCTGCGTGACCACGCCTTTGGCTACTACTGAATCCGCGAAGAACCTTTGAGTCGACGTTAAAATACGAATCAGCTGACTCGAATCAATCTCCTTTGACGTGACTTAACGCTCCTTCTTTCCCCTTCCCCCTTCCTCTCCGCGCCACTCTCCCTTTCCCCCCTTCCCTCCCTTTTCCCCCTTCCCCCCGCTCCGCCCCTCCCCCACCCCCCCCCCGCCGCAGGACGAGCAGTTCCAGGCGCTCCAGGAGAAGCTGGCGGAGGCGGACGCGCAGCTGCTGGCCGTCACCGCCAGATGCGGTGAGGGGGGGGAAGAGGGGGGGGAGGGAGGGAGTGGGGGGGTGCGAGGGTGCGGGTGCTAGCTGATGGACGCGCAGCTGCTGGCCGCACTGGGGGATACAACGATGAGGGGTGGGGACGAGGGGAAGGGGGAGGAGGGAGGGGGGAGGGAGGGGAGGGGAGGGAGAGGGGGGGGAGGAAGGGGTACTTGGAGTCGAAATTTCAACCTCCCTTTCTGTCTATTGCATTCACCTTTCATTACTACCACATACTCCGTTCTGTCCTGATCATTTCCATCGTCGCCCTTTGGACGTATTCTTGCGTCTCCTGTTGTGCTCCGTGCTCTCCCCACCTGCCACGTGGCGGCAGACGAGTGGAAGCGCAAGGCGCAGGAGAAGGCGCGGGAGGCAGTGCAGCTGGGCAACAAGGTGGAGGCGCTGGAGGAGCGGCTGGCGGAGCTGGACGAGGAGGACGTGCCCGCGCTGCAGGTGGGAGATTGAGGGGGGGGAAGGGGGGAGGGGGGGGGGGGGGGGGTGAAATGGAGGGAAAGGGGGGGAGGTGGGGGGGCGGGGGGCGGGAGGCTTGTGCGCTCGGTAAAGAATCAGAGGAGCTGGACGAGGGGGACATGCCCGTGCTGCAGGTGGGAGATTGGGGGAGGAGGGGGGGATTGGTGGGATTGGGGGCCGCAGAATTGAGGGGAAGGGGCGGGGGAAGGTAGGATGGGGGGGAGGGGGTTGTATCCTGTAATCATGCGCATTGATGGGCGCCAGGGGAGCGGCTGGCGGAGCTGGACGAGGAGGACGTGCCCGCGCTGCAGGTGGGGGGGGGGGAGAAAGGGAGGGCTGTAAGCCACATGGCTTGCTTGCTCTGTAAATAAGCTAGTATGTCTTATTAAACGGCATTTCTTCTTAGTGCAGATGCAGGTGGCTCGGCTGCGGGAGGAGCTGGCGCGGTCAGAGGCCCCTGGCCCCTGGCCCCTGCATGTGTGTATTTCTTTTGAAATACTTCCTTCCCAACTGCTTGCCTCAGATGGAGGTGGCTCGGCTGCGGGAGGAGCTGGCGCGGTCAGAGGCTCTTCGCTTCGACCTGCACAGGCAGTTCCAGGCGCCCGACATGTCGCCCACGGCCTCGCGCCACCCCAGCGTTGGTACGAGGGGGAGGGGGAGGGGGAGGCGGCAATTAGGGTGAGGGGGGGAGGGAGGGGAGTGGGAGAGGTGACGAAAAAGGGGCTAAGAGTGGGTGGTCGTGGGTACGTGCATGCATGCGCATGTGTGTGCGTCCGTGCATGTGGGGTTATGGAGTTGTTGGGCTGTTGGGTTGTGGGGGTGCATTTCTTTGCGTCGCCTTGAACTGCACAGGTAGTTTCAGGCGCCGGCCATGCCGCCCGCGTCCTCACACCATCCTGCCATCCCGCCATCCCACCATCCCTCCATCCCTCCATCCCTCCATCCCAGCACCATCCCATGTTTTTGAGAGTTCTCAACAACAGATGTCTTGCTGCCGTTTTTGAGTCGACTCAAAAGTCATTAACATCATGTGCCCATTCTCTCGCTCTCTCCCTCTCCTTCTCTTCGTCCTCTCACCCTGCTGTCACCAGGGGGTTGGATGATCTCTCCCTGGAGCGCATGTCTGCTGTCTCGCCGCTCCCATCTCATGCCATCGCATGCCATCGCATGCCATCTCATGCCATCGCATGCCATCTCATGCCATCTCATGCCATCTCATGCCATCGCATGCCCTCTCTCCTCTGTCACCGGCCCTGCAGTCACCAGGGGCCCAGACGATTTCTCTTTGGAGCGCATGGACGAGTAAGAGGCTGACAGCTGGATGCGGGAGCCGCCAGGGTGAGTGCTAGGGCTGGGATGGGATGGATGGCCGGCACTGGGAGGATGGGTGTTGGACGCTGCAGATCAGGTTGTAATAATCATTGTGTTGAGCCAACACGATGTTAACACGCACCGTCCAGCTCCTAAGCGTGTCGCTTCATAGAATGAATACGAGCTAATGTTGCTGCAGCAATGGTTGGAAAGGGGCTGAGAATCTGCACAGACCATTCTCGTGCTCCTCCCTTCCCTTCCCACTGTCTTCCTCCAGGGGCTCAGGCCGGGGAGCTGTGGACCTGAATCACCTGATGGCCATTGCCACTGAGGACGAGGAGGAGGAGGACAGGGAGGCGCCTTATGACACCTCCCTTCTTTGTTCCACATCCCCTCTGTCCACTCTTCTTCTCCGCTTCCTCAACCCTACTGTTTCTCCAGTGGCTCGGGCCGGGGAGCTGTGGACCTGATGGCCATTGCCACTGAAGATGAGGAGGAGGATGAGGAGGAAGAGGGCGAGGAGGAAGCATCTTATACCACATCCCTCCTGTCCTCCCCATCCTTTCTCCCCTCTCTTCTACCTCAACCCAACTATTTCTCCAGGGGCTCGGGCCGGGGAGCTGTGGATCTGATGGCCATTGCCACTGAGGACGAGGAGGAGGAGGATGAGGACGAGGAGGGTGCGCGAGGGAAGGGAGGAGTGGCAGGAGTTGCGGCTCTAGGGGAAGCGAACAAGGTGAGTGGCAGGATGTGCAGTGCAGCTGTAGGAGAGTTAGTTTTGGGACGGCTCAAAACTAACGTACTTAATCACGGAGTTGCAGCTTTAGGAGAAGGGAACAAGGTGAGTGGGGGGGTGTGCAGTGCAGCTGTAGGTGAGTTGGTTCTCCAAGCGCCTTCTCTTGCCTTGCCCCCTTTCCGTTTTTCCTTTTCTACCTCTCCCCTTTCTCCCCCCCAATATTGTGATTCTGAAGATACACTTAAAAAGAACTGTAGGCGTCTCTTCCACTCCCCGCACTGGGTACATTCCGCCCCTTGCAACCCCCACCTTCTTCGGTCGTACCCCCAGCACCACGCCTTCGGCCTTCCCCCTCCCCAAGTCCTCTCCTCTCCCCTGTTCCCCTTCCTTGTCTCCCTTTCGTGAACCCCCCCCCCCTTCCCCCACCTTCTTCGATCGTAACCCCAGCACGGGCCCTACTAGCAGCGACGGCGGGGACAGTGGCTTCATGCAAACGCTCCTAGATATGGGCGAGGCCTCCTCCTACGTCCTCTCTTGTCCCTGTGTTCCCCCCTCCCAGTCTCTCCTCTCTACCTTCCCGCTCGTCCATCGTCCCTCATAGCACCCACTCCCTCCCTCCCTCCCTTAGAGGGGATAACACTATGTACTTGTATCTCCTTTCCCCTCTTCCTAGTCTGACTTTTCACGCTATTCTAATATGGCATCTAGACCTAGATTGGGTCCCACCTACTCACGCTTCCACCCCTAGCTAAGTAGCTCCGAGTTGCCCCTAGTAGCTCCGTGCCGCTCCTAGTTGCCCCTAGCCGCTCCCCGCCCCAAGTAGTCACCTCACGCGCCTGTTGCCAGCCCGCGAACAAGCCGTGCCAGCTAGCGCCAACCCGTGCCAGCCAACATCAGTCCGCGGCAGCCCGCACTGCCTAACGTTAGCTTACGCCTGCCCGTCCGCCCTCTGCCCACTGCTCCACGCCAGCTAGCCATCGCCTGCGCCTGCTTGCCACTCGCGCGCCTCGCCTGCAGGCCGCCGCCAGTGACTGACTAATCGCATTTGCCAGCCCTCTCGCCGCCGGCTTACCAGCTCGCAGCCGGCTCGCCATCCCACCGCAATCAGCTCGCCGCCGGCCAGCACCCGCCGCCGCCAGCCAGCAACTGCCGCCTTGCTGCTGCCACCCATTGTTGCCTGCTGCTGCTGCAGATGCCACTACCATAGCTATTGCCGCCTCCTCCCGCCCGCTGCCGCCTAATACTGCCTGCAACAGCTACCGCTGCCACCGCTGCAGCCTCTGGCGCCCACTACCACCCTCTGCCGCCTGCTGCCGCCCGCTGCACTACAGCTGCTCCTGCCGCAGCTGCATTTCCAGCCACTTCTGCCACCGCTGCCGTTGCAGCTGCCACTGCCGCTATTGCCTTTGTATTCGCAGCTCCATTTCAAGCCACTACTGCCACCGCTGCCATTGCAGCTGCCGCTGCTGCTACTACCGCTGTTGCCTTTGCAGCCACAGCTGCATTTCCAGCCACTACTACCACCGCTGCCGTTAAAGCTGCCGTCTTTGCAGCCGCAACTGCCGCCATTGTTGTCGCTCCCACTGCAGCCGCAGTTGCCGCCCCTGCTGTCACTGCTGCCTTCACTGCCTCTCCAGCCGCAGCTACCGCAGCAGCCGTCACAACCGCCAGCCGCCGGCAGCCGACCACCAGCTCCAGCTACCGCCGGTGCTCAGTAGTTGAATGCCAACCGCCTGTTCCCGCCAGTCTCCCACTCTCAGTCGACTGCAAGTATGCCGGCCTCCTCTCTTCTCGTTCTGCGCCTGGATGGTGAGGGTCAGGCGATCAGATTTGTTGCCTGGCAGGCGTCATTGCTCCCCCAGTTGATGAGCCAATGCGTGGACGACGAGTCCCTTGAGGCTCACGTCTCTGGTGAGCTCTCTTCCCCCCTCCGTCCTGGCACTCTCGCTACTAATGCAGCATTGGCGCAGTAGGCTGAGCATGCCACTACCCGCACTGCCTAATCGATCTGGGTTTCCCGCGATGCCGCTGCTTGTGTCCCTCGAGGCCCGCTGGCATGCGGCCTGTATGGAGACTCAGTTGGCTGGAGCCCCACCCCCCCTCTTTGCCACTCTCTACTTCCTCGTCACCCGCCTCCCTAACCGCCTTGCTCCTGCTGGGATGCGCTACTTGCCCGCCACCCCTTAGAGCTCACGCTTGACCTCTTCTTTAGCTCTCTAACTGAGATAGAGGACCGTTTCCGTGCCATCGCTGGCTCCACTAGAGCGTCGGCGGTCCTTATATTTCACGGTACCGCTCCCTCCCAGGTGACAGTCTCTACTGCCTCCGTTGCAAAGACTACCACGGAGACTGCCGCGGCAACCACAACGCCCAGTCGCTCCTCGGATCAGAGGGGCAAGGGCAAGGGAGGCAAGTGTTGGGTGGGAGGTGCAGGGACAGATGGCGAGGGTGGTCAGTCGGAGTCAGGGACGGCGCAGCAGCGGCAGCAGCAGCAGCAGCAGTAGCATCAGCAGAGGTCACAGCAGCAGCAATTGCCGTGGGGGCTGGCCGGCCTTGGGAGTGGTGGTCGTGGTGGAGGCCGTGGAGGTTGGGCCCCAGGGCAGTCGGTGCCCTGGGGGTTTCGTGGCTGTTCTGTGAGCCAGGGTGCTGGCAGTTCTAGAGGCGCGGTGATGTGCATGTACCAGCTGCTGACTGAACCCCAGGCGGGCCAGGGCTACGGACGCGAGGGCCACACCGCTGCCCGCTGCTTCCGCCAACCTCTACCGCCGTCAGTTTGGCCCCTTATTGCATGTACCTCCCTGCCTGACCTTGCTTTGTCGGGGCATCTCGATCTTCAATCTTGATATGATTCAGCTACATCATGTGTGGTATTCTCTGTATGCTGATAACCCTAGTGTTGTCGGTTCTTATTATTCTGCTGTTTGTAGTCTAGGATCCACTGCTATGTGTAATCTAGGATCCCCTATTGCATTAGGCGTAGACTCCCCTGTTGCGTTAGGCATAGACGCTCTTAGCAATCCTCCACTGGGCCCCCCCACGTCGGCCCTCTTCTTTATACTAGACTCTGGTATTAAGGCAGTCGTGGTTGTGTTTGGAATGTGTCCTACGATATTCAAGTCAAATCAGAAGCCCCTTCCCCTTCTCGTTTCCTGACCTGTCTTTTCCTCCCCCAGCGTGGGCTTTGAAGGCTTCTGAGCATGATTGGGTCCGCACGTTCGAGGGCTGGGAGGCAGGAGCAAACTGGAGTACACCAGCACACATCACTTGCAATGAAGTTGGCATGGTTACCAGCACGTGTGTGAGCAAACCCCTGGCCGTGCATGCTCGCCTCCCTGCCTTCCTTCTCCCCTCTGTCCCTCCCTCTTTCTGTTCTGCGTCCTTCCTTTCTCTTCCTCTGTATTTCCTTCCTTCCCTCCCTCCTCCCTTCCTTCTGACTCCCCTCCCCTATCCACCGACCCAACCTAAACATCTCGCTTTGCCTTCCCTTGCTCTCTCACACATGCCTGACGCTTTCAGCTACTTGAAACTGCCATAACATCGTAAAATCCTGCTGCAACTCATA